ATTCCTGCTTCAGTAGAACTGGGGTTTTCTATTAGTAAATACCACAATAGGCCAACTATAGCTAATGCAACATGAAGCAACAGAATAAACCTACAGCAGCAATGACTCCAGACTTCTCCACTCAGTGCAGCTAGGGGAGCTGGCTATTCTGCATGCCTCTCACATAGCAGAGCAGGGCTCTGGCATCTCATTGGGAACACCACTCTTTGTAAACTACATGGGGAGAAGGGGTTCTCCACATCCAGCTTCCAATCTTTGTGTCTGGATAAAAAGGAGAGGGAAAAATCTGCCATTCGTTGCAAGAAGGCCCTTCCTAATGACAAGAGTAGCAGCACCTGGATTTGTCAAGAGCTGCATATAGCAATGACAGGAGGAGAGTAGCTGTTAAGAGAACAAATCAAAATGCTTCCAGGAAGCCAACAGATATGACCATCACAAAGATGAGAACATTTTAATTTGTTAATTTTACAGATGAGGCTTCCTACTCAGTAAATACGGGCTCACTTCAACCACTAGGCTGAAGACCAGGGTTGTGTCCATTCTCTAAGATTCTCCTAGTAAAGGTTTCCAAGGAACGCATCCTGCCAAGATCCATCAAAGGCAAAATTCATAACGAGTTCACAGTACATCAAGGTGTACATGGTGTCTTCCTTTCACTACTGTATCAGAGTCTTCGTGCTTTACGAGGACGGCAGCCGTTGTGAGGAATTGGGGTATTGTCTGTGATGGAGATGACCTCCAAACCCCCCATAGTCAACCCCTTGATGGCAGCCTGTAAAAGCAAGAGAATGAACATTAGACTGCACATTATTGCACAAACAGCACAGACTAATAGAAAGTTAAAGGGATCTTGGAGAGGACAGTCTGGAACAGGCAAGCAACATCTCTTTGCAGTAGTCTTAACAATCAGGAAGCCCTGTTTGGTTCAAGTTGGTCCTATCAAAGACAGGATTCTTTCTTACAATGTATTCTCCATTAATTTGCTACTCTAGTTTGAAGTGACCTAAGCAATTTGGCTTTTACTCAGTCCCTCACACAAAATTATTCTAGGATCTCACCAACAGGACATTTTCTTCTTGTTGACTGTTTTCAGGATGACAAAACATTAAATTCTCTACTTCATCTCGGTTTCAGGAAAGCAGGTTAACAGGCATCATTATTCCCCAGGTCTGAATAAAAAACCCTGCAGCTCCACACAGAAAGGAGCAAATAGATGAGAGCTTATACCCATGAAGAGGAAACTTGGGCACTTACCATACGCCCAGGGCCCAGACCTTTTACTACCACTCGCACATGGGACACACCCTTTCCACAGGCTTTCTGTAGGGAGAAAAGTGCTTTCAGTGATGAGGTAAGGCAGGTCAAGTACAGGCTGTCCCCACTATACCTCCAAGATAGTCAAAAAATCGTGAATGTATAGCAAAACAACGTAAAGTGAAGAATTTCTTTGATTTGCATTCAAGTGGCTGACTTTCATTTGAGTGAATTTTTTTTTTCCAGCGATATAAAATCAGGGAACGGGAGGACTTATAACAAAACAGTTCCTAAATTCATCAGTGACGTTAGTGCAGAACCGATGTATGCTGGTGTGCCATATAGCGGGGATGGTCAGTATTTGCTAGTACCAATCTGTCTCTCTGGATTAACCCTTGCATCCACTATTGAAAGCTTCTTTGGACAGAAAGGAAGAGGGAATCAATTATGGTTCTGGGGTGATACACATGGAGATCTCTTGGCAAAACTAGGGATTTGGGGAAGGATAGGCAATGAGTGACCAGGGATCGATTCAACACAATATTATGAACGAAGAGGAAAGTTGCTGAGAAGGGAAGCTGTCTTGGGTCATAAATTGAGACAGCAGATGATATGTACTTTTAAGGCTGATAGGTGACCAAATTAGGAAGGGCCCAAAAGAATTTCAAAGCAAGATATTTTACCTCAGAGAAGATCAACTTCTCCTAATGTGTGGCAGGACTGCCATCTAGTGGAGATCTCTAAACCTCCCTGATGATTCATTTAAAAGTTATCTGAAGGTATGTTTATACGTAAAATGCTAACCTCTTAAATCTTCAGGGCTTGTCTACACTTAAAACACTGCAGCAGCATAGCTGCACCACTGAAGTTCTTCAGTGAAGACACTACCAATGCCAACAAGAGGGTTTTTTTCATTAGTATAGGGACTCCACATTCCCAAGATATTGGGTTGGCTTAACTGCATTGTTCAGGGGTATGGATTAGGGATGTTAGGAAGCTAGTAATTAGCTAATTGTGTAGTTGATAGAATTTCTATCAACTACTCGATTAGTCGATAAGGAAGGAAGTGCTTAGACTGGCCTCGCACTGGGTCTAGGAGGTACCCCGTGCTTAGACCGGCCTCGCACTGGGTCTAGGAGGTACCCCTGCTGTGGCTCTGCAGTTTAAATGTGGTAAGAGTCAGGCTTGCACCAGGTCCAGCAGCCCTGTCTGTGGGGGGTTCCAGTGGGGAGCTGGGGCCCCACATGGACAGGGGCTGCTGCTGGAACTGCACTGCTGCCTCTAATGGGGGGGAGGGAGGGAAGAAAGAGCAAGGTGGTACTGAGGTGCAGCGGCTTTTAAGCTGCTTCCCCTTCTTGCTGCCTCTGACAGAAGTGGGCGGGAGGAGGGAAGGGGGAAGAGATGTGAGCAGTCGACTCAACTAATAAATAAGCTTGGGCCTATCAGTCGACTACTCGCTTACACCCCTAGTATGGATTTTTCACATCCCTTAACAACATAGTTATATTGACTTAAATTCCTAGTGTACAGGCAGTCCCCGAGTTACGCGGATCCGACTTATGTCGGATCCACAGTTACGAACGGGGTTTGCTGCCCGTCTCCCTGGTCTGCTGGTTTCCAGCAGACCAGGGAGATGGGCAGCAAAGCCGCGGAGCACGCGGGCAGCGGGCAGCCCAGACGCGTCTGGGCTGTCCGCTGTCCGCTGCCCGCGTGCTCCACAGCTTTGCTCCCTGTCTCCCTGGTCCGCTGGTCTCCAGCAGACCAGGGAGATGGGCAGCAAACCCCGTTCGTAACTGCGGATCCGACATAAGTCGGATCCGCGTAACT